AACACGAATGCTGACCATCAGTCACAAGCAATGCAAGTTAGTCCAGCAGTCCCCTCAGCGAGGCCAAACCATAAGAGATCAAAGAATTTCAGTGACCATGAAGATGAGGTTTTGGTTTCAGCGTGGCTGAATATAAGTTTGGATCCGGTCGTAGGCAAAGATAAAAAAAGGTGGCAGGTATTGGTCTCGTATCTGTGACTATTTCCATGAGCACAAGACGTGCCAATCAACGCGTACCATTAATTCTCTAATGCACTGGTGGGAGACCATACAGAAATGTGTGAACAATTTTTGTGGATGCCTAACACGGATTGAGTTAAGGCGTCAAAGTGGTACTACAATGCAAGACAAGGTAATTACTCACTTGTCTAAGATGGATTTGTTTTGACTATTTTTATTATATCTCATAAATGAATATCCCTTGGATGTTGATGTGTGCAGGTTGCAGAGGCATATGCTTTGTACAAGGCCGAAGACCAACATAACAAAGCATTTCAATTCATGCATTGCTGGGATAAGCTGAGAACACAACCGAAATGGCTTGCTAAACTTGATGAATTGGTTGCTGCTAAAACATCTAACAAGAAGCAGAAGACAAGGCCTACTGCTGATCCGAGTGCAACTTTACCAAGTGAAATAGGACAAAATGCAGTTGAAGACTTAGATGCTAATGCATTGACAAGGCCAATTGGTAAGAAGAAGGCAAAAACAGCATTGTTGCAAGAGAAGAAAAAAAGTGTGACAACAACCTTAGAAAATATGTGGGCACAGTTAAAAGAAAATGATGGGGAGAAAGAGCTAAAGAAAGATTAGAGGTTCAACAAAGCATTTGCTCTTGAACAAGAACGAGTTGCAAATGAAAAACTACTTCTTGAGGTGAGGAGACAGGAGGTCCAATTGCAGAGAAAGAGGGATGAAGAGAGGATTATGACCATGGACCTTAGTGCCATGCCAGATGAGCAAAAGAAATACTACATGTGCTTGCGGGCTGAGATCATGAGCTGAGTATTTAATTAGAATTCTATTCTTTTAAATAGTACTAGTAGCTACTGTGATATTTTTTTCCCATATGGTACTGTGTGATGTTTGAACTTAATTTGTATTTGAATCTTCTAGAGTACTAGTAGCTATTGTGATTTTTTTTTTTTTATTTGTGTCTTCTATTTCTCCTTATCTGGTAAATGTAATGAAACACTTTAAAGGCTCAAACCTGAAAGAGTAGAGACTGTTTTCATAGCCCTCCTCTTGTCTTTATCATCTTGCAAATCCAAATTCAGCACAATCTTCTGCACATAAACATAACACTGAGGCATCACAAGTACACATACTGAAGAAACACAAGTGAACTGGAAATCCCATGTAATAACATTAAAAAACAAACTACTACTATTATTTAACAAAATAGAAAAAAGGGTTAACCTGAATTACATCAATTCATAGCATATCTGCTGTAGCTCACAAAGCAACAACCTTTTTTTTTTTTTTACAAGAACATAGAAAAGACAGAACATTCTTAAATTTTCAGAAAAGCTAACATTTTGTTTTATATTTATATTCTTGTTTCATATGTAAAATGTTGGAAGAGCGCACCCCATATACAGTATAAAACAGAATAATTAGTATTTGCATAATAACTATCGACCTTCAAACATCCAAATGCATGAATGATGAACCTCTCCCCCTCCCTCTGGAGTGAAAACAGACGCAGTTATTTCACAGTGCAAAAGTGAAGCCGAGGTTTCACCCAGATACCACATCAATTATCATAAAACTAATATTATATGGCAGCATCCATTACACTTTGAGCACTAAAGATAGATACAAAACCAAATCCCAACTCCATATCTATAGAATCAACCGAGCTCGTACATAGTATGATACAAAATGGGCTCCTAGAATTATATACAAAACCAAATCAATTATGAAATAGATAAATTCTGATGCACTTGCACACGCAATTTAAGCCGAGGTTTCTCATGAATAACATTGTCTCAAGTACAAAAAAATTATTATGTATCCATAATGAATGAAAATAGCAAATAAATATTAACTATAGGCAATCATTTGTACAGGTCTGGATGATGTTGCCACAGGTGCTCAACGAGGTCATCTCGAAGTTGACTGTGAATTTCTCTGTCCTTTATATTTTTGTAATTCTTAATATACTCATCAAGTTCAGGTGTCGCATCATGAGAAATCTTCACATTTTCTCCCACTCCATCATAAATTAAATCATGTTCCTCATCGCGCTCATCCTCAACTATCATGTTGTGCATAATGACGCAAGCTCGCATGATATTTCCGAGGGTGTCTTCATCCCAAAATCGAGCCGGTCCCTTGACGATTGCGAAACG